GTCTTCACTCTGGCTCAAATGAAGCTACCGTTTTAATGGAAAGCTACACACGTGATCAGTAAAAGAGGGCCAGCTGCACATTTAATGATAACAATACAGTGAGTGATCAAAAATAATTAAAAGAGATAATATATTTGATCATTTCACGTACCAACATCCTCACTGGCAAAGCGGACCAGTCTGCGAGCCACATAGAGAGGATCCTCACCGCCCTCCAGCATGCGGCCCAGCCAGTAGAGAGACGCATTCTCATCGGAGCCTCTCATAGACTTATGTAACGCTGAGATACAGTTGTAATGCTCTTCACCTTTGAGTAACACACACAAATTAACACATTAACACATTTAGCAAGACAAAACACCTAATTCTTCATGTGGCGTGTTATTAATCATTCATTTTCACAATGGTCTGAAGAAAAACACAAACACATAGGAAAAAAAAAAATCTGACCATATGAAGCCATAATGAAGGGAAGAATTCTGTCTCCGTTAAGGTCATTAATCAAGCTCGGAGACAGTTTCATCACCCAGGGAACAGTAAATCTCAATCTTTTGGGACAGCTGATGTGTTATGTAACAGGACAGGGTGGAGGACTGATGAAAGAGTAAGCGGGAGTTATCCATGGATACTCAGGGAGAGGGGTAGGGTGGGAAAGTGTAAATAATCGGAGTGGCTGAAACTATAGTAGGAAGAAAGAGTAAATAAAGATTTTTATATAAATGTTTATATCAGTTAGGTATTGCAATCAAGAAAATACCAAATTATAGAACTCTAGTTTTATGGATGTACAGCACACGAGTCTTTATCAGAGTCATAGTTTAATATGTAATTTTGTAGTGGGGCTCTCCTTACGTGTGTGTACTGTAATACCCACACACACACTATACTCCTAAGCAACCATGAGCATGGCTATAAACACTCCCAGGTTACATGCATTGTTGTTTTTTTCCCCCTCTTATCATTCAGTGCACTTCATATGATAGCCCCGTGACAGGATAGTGATCACAGTTTCTGGGAAGCAATATGAGAGGGCTGTTAAAACCTTGTGTTATTTATATGTTATTGAAAGTGAAGGCAGGTGTTACACTGAACCTGCTGAGAGGATTAAACAATGTGGATTTGTGAAATATGTAGCAATGTGTTAATGTGCAGGAATCCTGTTGTAGTGTGTGTAGTGTCTGACACACACCCTTTTACTAATCCTAAAACCTGTGTCAATTTTATTTTCAATGAGTGGTCATTTAAGATAAACTAGTTTCAAGGGCATAAATCAAATTAAATTCCCTTAATTTCACTGAATGACCCATAATCATCACAAAATCCAAATAAACAACCTATTTGAGCAATACTTTTTGATATAAAGTCAGAAAAAATTATTTTGCACCTGCTTTCCAAAAAGTAAGCCAGTAATTAGGAGCCAAATGTGTATTTCTCAATCTAAGCCAACATTGGTTGCACTTAAATAATAACAGAAAAGTGCGAAGGTGCTTTACTATAAATATTCGTTACTGGGTGTTTTGGTAAATATAGAGCAATTTTATTATAATTAACTGAACGTAAACAAAAACTCAAACTAGGTGTTAAAAAACATCTGCAATTAAAATAAAAACTTTAAAAGAGACATTAAAAACCAAAAACAATATTGTGCACTTACAAAATTAACTAAAATAAAGTAAAAATGTTGTTGACATGTATTTAGTTGCAGTCTTTTTCAATTTGGTCACATTTATCAACACAACAAGCATGAGGAGGCCCCTGACAAATACCTACCATATTATAATAAAAATTAAACTAGACAAGCACACCCACTCTGGAAACTAACTCAGAATCAGAATCAGAATTATGTTTATTGCCAAGTAGGTTTTTACACCTACGAGGAATGTGACCTTCTCAGCAGATCGAATGATACGCTGCAGTCTGCCCTTGTCCTTGGCAGTGGCAGCAGTGTACCAGATGGTGATGGAAGAGGTGAGGATGGACTC